AAGTAATAATGAGCTAATTGAACAAAGTTTACAGATAATAACAATTAAGTATATTTTACAAGAAAAATATTTTTGACTTTTTCTTAAAAGTACAATAAAACATAATGCTGCTAATGTCTTTATCTAGTGAATTCCATATCTTAATTCCCTTGTTAACAATAGTATGTTTTGCATAATTTGTTCTACTATGAAATTTGTTAGCATTTCGAGTATTGTAATGATGCACTTCATTGTCTGAACATGAATTCAGTCTTGGCTACATTAAGGACATTAAGGCTAAGTTTATTGGCAATTATTAACCATTTTCTAAGGTTTTCTGATTTAGACGAGTCTAGCAAGGTAAGATTGTATTTTTGGATATTAATGTAATTACAGAAAGTATCCAATTTGCTGTAAAATTTGGCTCAATCGATAATTAACGCTGTTTACACTTTGCACAGATGATCGCTCAACCGAGGGTAAACAGTGGTTGTAAATTGCAATGTATGTGCAAGTTAAAGACCTCTACGATTGGAAAGGTGACTGGCTGAACTGTGTGCATTCATCAGACATGATATCGCTATATTTATTCAGCTTGTTCACGTCAAAATCAAATGAAATACAGTTAATATGTATGTCTGAAATGTTTAACATTTGAAAACAACATTGTCTTGCTGCTTCCTAGCTTTGTATCTTGAATATACTGTCAAACTAATATCGGCACTTAATTGATTAATGCCCGTAATGCAAAACATCAATTCATATATTGCATAGAATCTCAAAGATTTTCTCAATATTCATGTCTGAAATGTACACACATTTCAAAACAACACTGTCTTGCTGCTTCATGGCTTTGTATCTTGAATATACCATCAAAATAATATCGGTACTTAATTGAATGCCTGTAATGCACAAGATAAATTTATATAATGCATAGATTCTCAAAGATCTAGTCCAAACAAGGGAGCACAGCAGTATTCTTTTCGAAACTTGGCGTACCTGTATGGTTATAAAATCTGTGAATAGGTAGTCTTTGTTTTCTTTGGTTTACTCATTTCCATATAAACACTAAAACAATGTTTTTAAACACTTTTAAATACCATAACTTTCGCCATAATTTTTGTAATATTTTTGTATAAATATTTTCACAGCTTCGATGTGCCTCCTTTGCAGGCTATTTTCACATGGTCGTCCGCTGTAAATATTACCGCATGTACGGTTTTGTAAATATGCGCAAAACTTACAATAAGAAATAGAGGGGAGTGAAACTGTGGACACGTGATCAATATTAACCAATAGCATTTGGGAATTCGAGAACCGCTTTCTCCAAGGTTTGTAGCAAAACCAGGGGGGAGATTTGGCTCATATGCTGGAGCCTGGAAACGAAAAGCTTGTTGTTGATAGATTTAATTTTATATTTTCTACAGCAATCAGCTCAAAGTGAATAGGCTAATCAGTGAGGGTTACAGTATAAAAACGTTTTTCTTGGTAACAATATCTTTTTCAGTTCTGGCACAGGTTATGGCAAATCTTTAGCGTTTCAAGCAATTCCACTCATGGCTGATCATCTTGAAGATCAAGTTGTGGGAACCAGTATAGGCATAACTATATGTCCTTTAGCGTCTCTTATGCTCGACCAAGTTGCATATTTAAAATCAATTGGACTGAACGCTGCTGCTGGATATAATGGCCAAGACGAGGAAATCTTGAGAGACGTCGAAGGTCTATTTTCTCACATATATGCTACTCCAGAGTCTATGCTAAGTATGAAGCGATGGCAGAAGATGCTTCAGTCACCTTATTTTATAGAGCATTGTGTCGTTGTTGCCATAGACAAAGCTCATTGCATTAGCACATGGTAAGCTTTGTTCTTGACAAAAGGTTTAATTCTTTTATTTCTTGTAGTTGTATGTATGTCTTTAAAAATTAGCAAATGAATAAGTATCATGTATATCATTGACCTCATTGTCCAGTATGTCTCTTTGTAGCTGTATATGCCTGGCTAGATTACTACCAAATACATGTATATTACAACCGAATACATGTGAAAACTAGATTGTCCCAATCTATATTGTCAAAGATTGTCTGTTGAAGTGATACCATTACTCTTAAATTTAACTTAATTCAACTTGTAGACATCATCAAGCTGTGTACGCAGTTCATAATTTCGTCACCTCTTTTAGGTCCTCTAGCAATTTTGTTGCACACAGATAATTTTCGTGTACTGTGTTATACAATGTTTGTGTATGTGTGTTAGGAAATAGCTAAAATCCGGCTGCAAAATCGCGTATTTTTAAAATCAGATTTAAAGGCTTTTAATGCCACATTTTAGTCACAAGAAATCATAAGAATTTGTTTCGAAACATTGCTTTTATTGTTTCACATTTTGAACACTCAAGACATTAGCAATCACATTGTATAAAGGTGAATAGTTGGGGAAATCTTTATCATATGGGTTACAAATTGCAGTGTTGCAAAAAATGTTGTGGTACTTGTTGCTTGTCCGTCCACACTTCGATTTCTAATTCTAGCGGAAGGCGTGATAATGTTACTAATCAAACTGACCGGCGAGGTAATAAATTCACCAGTCAGCAGGCATGCTTGGCCGGTCATCGTGTGTTGACCAAGCCGTCTGTTATTTTGAGCCCTGTAATCAACCAATCACAAACCTTGTTAATATAGGTACACACTATTCATACATGTACACAGTACACTTTTTCCAGTTCACCATAACATTACAATGGGTTTACCTAGCAGTTTTGTGTAAGAAAATTGATTTCTTATGTTTGTTTAAACATTGATTGCAAATCAAATTTGTCTAAAAGTGAGGGTGGAATATTGTATTTTCTGTTAGATTGTTCAGTAAAAGCATCACATTTTACCAACTTTTAATTACTTCAAAATCGATTTTTAACATGATGACCAGATCGTCTAAACAGCTTACAGTCTTGGTCAGAATTGTCCATTAATTGTTTGGTAACTGTAATCGACTTGCAGAAATGGTTAACTGCCTTTTCACTAGAAGCATTCGGTCCCATCTTTTAATGGCTTCTTTTAACACTCAGTTGTAATGTTCCAAAGCCAGATCAAGAGGAATGTTACCCCTAGGCCATATTTGGCTTTAACAGAGCAGTTCCAAATTAACCTGTGGGCATCTTTTGGAGAAAGTAGGGCATATATCTGGCATAGGATTGTGAGAACTTCTAATGCATACTTACAACTTCTTTGGCCATCATTTCTTAAAAAGAGAAGAAAGAATTTCCAACATCGGATTATCCGCTCACCGTCTCCTTCAGACACAGCATCACAGAAATTTAAGAACATTCCATACTCGAGGAGAGCATATGTTACAGCACAGCTAATACTCGTCCCTCCTCTTTTCCTCGTTTTTTTTCAGACATCATCTCCACTGTTGATATGCTTGCTGACTTTCTGCCCGAAAAACTGAATTTGTTTACTCTCTCGGTTTCTGTGGACATAGCCATGTTCATGGCTTCAATCAAATCCTCATCGATGACCAGAGGATTCTGGAGGGTTGGTCTCATCTTTGCTCGGATTGTCTCATCAATAAGCCCTGTCTCAAGGGCATGCATAAATAATCCTTGCACTGAGCTCTGATCATAGGTTATATTATTTCCCCGACTCTTTTGAGGCAAAAATGATCTTTTGGCGAATGGTCAGAGTTCGAATGAGGAAAGATTGTGGATCCTCTTTTGGTTGTTGTTAGCTAACATTTGATAGAGTTCAGTTGCACTCTTCTCGTGATAATGGAACCGAATAATTTTTCTTAGGCTGGGCAAGGTTAGGTCCGTAACGCTTTCCAAATAACTTCTTAACTGAAGTCCTGGTTGCACTGCTCGAACTACCGCATTAACAATTTCTAGTTCAGAGTATTGTTTTCTAACACCGGCTTCAATTTGGGAAAGTAATGATTGATACCCCAACTTATCTTTATGCCTGGGTTCCCCAACTACACCTTGTATCTTAAAATCTCGGTGTAGCAGACTCTTTTCAAGATTTGCCAATGGTACTTTTATAACAATTTCTGGTTGAACAGAACCTTCCTTACTAACACCTGTTCCCTTTTTCTCTTGAGCCTTTAGTTTGATTTCTTTTTGTTTACTCAACAACTCTTGTATCTTCTCTTCCAATTCTACAACTTCTGATTTTTCCTGGGGTACCACTTCTGAAACTTCCGCTTCTTTCTGGGGTCCCTCCCCTTGATCGTCCGGCTCTTCGAGCGAGGGTGGACCAAGAAATACTTTAATACTTTCTATATATTTCACACATTCTGTTTTCTCAGTTAGCTTTCCCACTGTCTCTTCTATAGCTTCCCGTATAGCCTTTAGAATCATAAATCTACTCTTACCTTGAACACTAGATTCATCTAGCTTTATATTTTGTGCTACCTTCAAAATGTCATCCAACTTTAATGCAAGTATTTCCGATTCCAATAACATTTCTTCAACCTCTGAGTCAGCCATTTTGACTTTTAATCAATGTCACAGTTTTAAATTATCACACCAAAACTTCAAGTAATCAAGTTCAAATGTATAATATACTATAAGCACACAAGTCCCTTTCACATTTCCAATTGCAAATTTTAAACAAGTTCAGTCCATATTATCACACCAATACTTCAAGTAACCAAGTTAAAATGGATAATATACTGTAAGCACACAAGTTCATTTCACAATTGTAAGTTTAAACAAGTTCAGTCCATGCTTCGTAGAAATACAAACACTTCATCGAGGAAACGCCAGTGTTCGCCTCATATAAACAATTCCACATTCATATACTCACTACAAATATTAGTGAAAATACTCCTCTCTTGCGATAATGCAATCGCTTTTTCTCCTTGAATTTTGCTGTAATATTCCCGCCTGAGCCCCCAAAATGTTACACAGATTCTTCTCGATATATTTTAACCAGCAAAATAAGACAAATGTTGGTTTAGATCTCTTTAATAATGCTTTTTTTATAAGGGAAACCAGCCCAAAACTATATTATATTTTAGAATACAAAAAACATGCCGTTTCATATGCGCCCGCGATCAATCTGACCAGCAATGCTCTACTTCATGTAGTCCTAAATTATTCATCTAACACATACTGATAATTCAACACGTCATCTCGATTTTTTTATGCAATTGATGTATCATTGTGTAACATTGACTGTGATGTTTGTTCATGCAGTCCATGAGTCTTTTCATGTGATATGCATCTCTTACCATCATGGCTGAATGTCTTAGTGCATCCTGGATACCTGCATGGGTAACAGCCATTAGAGTCTGAAGATCCTTTGTAGTTCTCCAAATGTTTAATCAAAGTATTTACTTCATTTTTTAGTGTGGTTATGTTACCAGGAAGTTTCATTGTAGTGGTAGTATGTTGCACTGGTAAAAATCTTTATTTACAGTTTAAAAAACTTAAAATATAAATCAAGCTTTCGGACTAAGCATCCATCGTCAGAATGGCATAAATGATTAGTCGCTTAAATACTATTTAATGTTAATGACCTAACTAAAATATTAGGTTTTTGAATAATTAGACTAGAAGACAAAAGAGTCATAATAGAGTCATATTAGCATATTATAGAGTCAACAAAAGAGCCATAAAAAGACACTGCCATAAAAAGACACTTTTGTCCAGTGTCTTTTTATGGCTCTTTTGTTGACTCTATAATATGCTAATATGACTCTATTATGACTCTTTTGTCTTCTAGTCTATTATTCAAAAACCTAATATTTTAGTTAGGTCATTAACATTAAATAGTATTTAAGCGACTAATCATTTATGCCATTTTAATCCTGACGATGGACACTTAGTCCGAAAGCTTGATTTATATTTTAAGTTTTTTAAACTGTAAATAAAGATTTTTACCAGTGCAACATACTACCACTACAATATTTACTTTATCTTCATGCAAAATGAATTTATCAACAATTCTTGAAGACAAGTCTTTGAGAAACTCCCTTTTGGGGTGACTTCCCACTAGTCCGAAGGTTCACTAGTCCGAAGGTTCACTACTCCGAAGGTTCACTACTCCGAAGGTTCACTACTCCGAAGGTTCACTACTCCGAAGGTTCACTATAGCTAGTCCAAAACATACGCTGGTTTTGAATTACAATTACGTGTTAAACTTGGCTGCTTCGCAGTTAAGCATTTTTCGTACCTGCATACACGCACGCACGGAAAAATTTAAATCCACTTGAAAGTCTTTTGTCCACTTGAGAAATAATTAAATGAATAAAAGGAAAGCATTTAGTTTTGTGTTTGATTTTAAGTGTACTTTTTAAGCAATTATTTAGAAAGATTTAAACTTTTCCGAGTGTATACGTACGTGAAAAAATGCGCAACTTGAAAGCAGCCTTAAGGCAATGTGACCAATGACTACAATGCTACGTGAAATTTGATTGTTACGGTTCATCATTGAAATTTGTCCTGTGAGTAACATCTAGCTTGCACAAGTTGTGACTCATTAAGATAACGAAACAACATATTTTCTTTTATTTAATGCATATTTCTTCATGCTGCTTTACCTAAATGACAAAATTGCTATGCTAAAATAAAAAAGTGTTCAAAAGATTATTCTATTTATTATATTGTAGCTGTTTGCAGGACATAAATGCATAACTGAGAGTTTCATAATGATTGCGAGACAACAACGTTCAGTTATTATTAGCTATCTACAACTGTAACACGCCATGACGTGGCCTGAATTTCCCAATCCTAAAGCAATACCCTAAATCTGAACCAAAGAATTAGTGTAAATATAGGCACTTTTTGAGGTTCCTTCTACCCTCAACAAATGTTTTAAGGTAGCTCCATACAATTTCTTCAATAAATTGTCCTAATGATTGCTCATACTAGGAAAAACTTTTAATAAAATAAAAATTGGGGGGCACCATTGTTGTCTTCGAATTAAACTAGTTTAAATGCAAATTAGCAGCCATTTTTTGAAATGCCATTGTTGCCATGGTAACCATAATTACGGACTTTTCCGTTACAGTTTCTGATTCTCAAAATACCTTTCTATATACATGACATCTGGTTTCATTCTTCTATAAAAATATCAATGTACAAAACTTTTTGGTCTGAGAGAAATTTTTCAAGAAACTGTATGGAGCCACCTTAAAGCGAATTATATATTCAAGTATGACGTATATGTTCAAGTATGACGTCATGGTACTGCATGTTAGATAAGACCCAGCTCGAATTGCTCTAAAATGTAGTTACTAGATACGATACTGCATTCCAATAACGCTGAACATCTCTGACTCCATTAATGTAGTCGGTCTTCAATCTCTGAAGTTGATTTTCTAACCGTTGCCAGCGGCGACGCCTTCGTGTGGGTTGCCCACCGTTATCCATAGAACGGATGCCTTGATTGGTTTGAGCCTGAAGATCCTTCAAATGCCTTATAAAGATCCACAAGTTGGGATGGCGCACTTGCACACGGTTGTTCCAAGCGCGATGAAAGCCTTAATAATAAAACCACTAAATTGAACAATTGCAAGTAATATATACGTGGACAAACGTGCATGAATATAAATAGGCAGTTATATACAGTTTTTCATGTCTTGAGTTTTGAGTTACGCTGCCACTTTTGTAGTTCTTGGAATGGTACCAAAAACATGAAAGTCTGTTTGTATCTCAGAGTTGATTCAATATAATTGTTATTTTTATATGGTTGTCATGGAAACACATTAGCAATCACGCCCATATGAACGACAAGATTTTAATGAGAATCACTTTAGAGATATCAGACTTTCGTCTTTTTGCTGCCATCTCAAACACAAATAGTGCCGTCATGAGGACTGTCGAAGTACTAAAGAATTGTGAATACACGTAAATATATTGGCTGTTCCATCATTTAAATAAATAATAAAACAATTATTGATATGGAGAATTATCATGACCTCTGTTCCGGTTCGTGTTACTAAGCTCAACCTTAGGCTACGTTGATAACACAAACTTCGGCTTGATAATTCTACATATCATGCGAAAACCGAATCACAATAATTGATAAATCAACTGCAATTACCTTCAGCGTTATTGTTTGTACGGCAATCCATGGCACGATCGTACACATTCCACAAAGTTACAGGAAAGTTTCCATTGATGTAGTTGTTGAATACGTAGTTGAAAAACTCCACCAAACCTGGATATCTCCTAAACAATCGCCGTGTCCTATTTTCTGTGCGCAGTAATGCAAAGTTATTTCTCACGATGGCTGTTGGCAAAAAACCGATGGACATTACTTTTCTAATGAGCTTCTTCACACGCTCGTGGTTTCGATAGGCCCGGGTCAAACCAAGATCTTTGACATGGCGCCAGAGAGA